TATCTTTCTGGTCTGTAATGCTATAATATATATTATAAATCAATAACGATGTCTGCCTTTGTAAATGTTTCCAATTTAAAGCCACAGATACATAAAACTTGTAAGACAACACTTCTGTATATTGTTCTAATCAACTGAAATAATTTGAAATGGCAAAACATTCCTTTATATATAATACATATCCTAGAGGATTTTTAAAACATTAATTTAATACATCTCTCTATGGGGCTTCAAGGAACTTGTTGCTCACTTTCAGGTTAAGAAGAAAGAATAGGCAGAACGCAGAGAATGGTTAGGGCAGTGAAACTACTCACTATGACAATGTAATGACAGATACATGTTGTTATACATTTGTCCAAACCCATAGAATGTACAACACCAAGAGTGAACCCTAATGAAACTATGGACTTTGGGTGATTATAATAGATCAAGGTAAGTTCATCAATTGTTACAAAAGTACCACTCTGGTGGGGGATGTTGATAATAGGGAAGGCTATGTATGTGTAAGAGTAGAGGATATATGGGAAGTTTCTGTACCTTTTGTTTAATTTTTCTGTGAACCTAAAGCTTCTCTAGAAAATAAAGTCTATTTTACAAAAAACATGAAAGATTTTTTTTCCACTTCAGCTGATCACTAAGGATATGCCTTTCTCAATTTACTATAGAGAATGCATTTATGAAGATCCTGCTAATATATTCATGGAATATGAGGCATGCAGCCACCCAAATTCATGGCTAAATTTCTGAATTGACAGAGTAAAATTGCTAACAACAGAAACGCTTGTATCGACCAAGCACTGTGGTTTGATTAAGTTTACTCATTTATTTTATAAATTTGCTGTAAAGCTATTAGAAGAGTTTTATTACTCAAATTATGAGGCTCAGTCAGAGTGGCCTTTTAAATCTATAAATTAATTAGAACTGTATTTTTAGAGCACTGAAAATATCTACCCCTTTCTTTCAATGAATATATTTCCTTTCTCTATTACAAATAAATTGTGATTTAGTTCATAATTTGCCTAGTTTGCCATCATTCATATATATAGTACTTGGACAGATCGCAAATATAATTATAAATTTACTTCACAATCCACTTCTGGGTAGATGAGAGAAGCTTATATATGCATGTGATAGAAGAAATTACCCTTCATTAAAGCATTTTCTCCATTCAATACATTTAAACACATGCCCAAGCAAGGATATAGTTCTCGCCTATTTGTATTCTCCATGCAAAATGCTTTTTGCTTTCTTTATAACTTCCATGTGGGAGTTACCTCAGCTTAGCATTTATACTTTCTCCTAGTTTTTTCTTTTTGGCCACCGGTTTGTTCTTTCTACTACTTTACCATCACTTTCTTGATATCCTTTCTATAAGGCATTTATCAGTTCATTCTTGTTTTTTTCCACCTCTAATCCTCATATGCCAGGTTTGATTGTTTTTTCTAACTCCATTCAGAACCAAATCTGACTGTGTGCATGTCACTGGGCAGGACTTACTCCACCACCTTCACTCATCAGTCATAGCAATTGGTCCAGGGATAGGTACAAGGCCATGACTGACTAAATCTGGAAAAAGAGAGTTTTCTTTCTTTCAGGGTTTTCTAGGTTGGTAGTATTTAAGACTGGAGCTCACGGAAGCCACCTTGCCACACAGGAAGAGATTGTCTGAGCATGATGCCACCACACAGAAAAGAACAGAGCAAAGAGAATAAGAGAGGCAGATTCAAAAGATATTTTCGAATACCGAGATCCAGTTTTGCTTGATCCATCCCTTGACTTTTATATGAAAGCAATGATATGCTTTGACCACTTTGAATCATGTTTGTTTTGTATGAAGCATTCCAATACCTTATTTTGTTTTAAAAAATTTTATTTGCATTCAATAAGAGGTAAGATATTCCTAACAAAATCCTACATATGTGTCCATTAGAACAACATTGCGTTAGTTAAGATACACCAGATTGCTAGAAATGGAAACCAGTTTCAATCTAGTCTAAATTGAAACAGGTATTTGTTCATTTCTATAAAGTTTCAGAGGTAAGCTAGGCTCGGGCATGGCTGAGTTCCAGAACTTCGACTACTAGTTTTCCATATTTTAGTTGTCCACCCATTCCTCTTTTCAGCTTGACATCATTCTCTCCCCTTGACAGGTTTTCTCCATGTGGAGATAACGTAACAGCTGGCAGCTCCAGAACTGCATACCAGTCACATTTTTATGATCTTTAGATAAATGTTATGCTTCCTCCAGCCCCAAGTACTCTGATTAGCCCCTCATAACTACGCCTGAAAAAAATCACGTGGCAAATATATAGTCTGTGACTGACTAACCCTGAATTCCATGCCCACATCTGCAGTCAGAAGGAAGCCTCTTGCAGTGGATGATCCCAGTAGCACCCCATGAATTTGGAACAGATGGAAGTGGTAGGGAAGCAATCTCCCAAGTAGAAACACAAGAGGTGTAAGATTTCTGTGAAACACATCAAGTTGCCCACTCATGTTTACTTCTTGTCCTTTTCCAGACCCCACTAAAATGAGGAAATAAACTGATTTTTAAAAAATTATGGGATTGGAGGAAGTGAAGGGTGAGAGAGCTCAACACAATTCTGGAAGGCAAGAAAACAATAGAAGAAGAGAACCAATCATGTTAGAAGATGTCAAAGCCTAAGGCATGGTCAGAGGCTGACGTCTGAAAGGACTTTGCATCACCTGGCATGGCTGCAGGTGGGGATAAGGTGAGGAGCTGTAAAAAAAGATACGGGTTGAAGTTGTGTGGAGTGGTCAATCCCTCCTGACTACCGATAAGCAGAATTTCAGAAATCTTTAATTCCCATGCAGCAGATACCTTCAATAATGCATCGTCAGGAGACTGAGGTTCTTTCTCTATAGAATTTGAATGAGAAACATGAAAGTCAGACAATCAGACTGGCAGAGGAAGGGGTAGGATACGGGGTTGGTAATAGAGAATTAATTTACAAGCTGCACATAGCTCCTCCAAACCCCATCCTCATTACATCTTTGTGCAGTGTACTGCCTGAACTAGAATATGTGGATATGCCTAGAACTATAACATCTTGCTTAACTACAGTCTTTGTCTGCATCCTCCTTTTAGGAAAATGAGGTAAAAGGAAAACAGTAAGCTTATGATATCAGAGAGTTATTTAAAACAAGAAACTGTAGTTCATTCCAGTTTTATGTCTCTAACAAAGCTACACAGAAATTATGAATATTCTAGGAGATGCCCCAGGCATCACATGATCCTAAATCATCAAAACAACATTGACTTGCGTTTGGCATTTTGTATTTACTGAGCCAGGAAAGTGAAGTGGTTCAATATAGAAAGGTTTTCTAAACTAATAATTAAAACAAAGAATTTTATTTCTTTTTTTTTTATTACTATACTTTAAGTTCTGGGATACATGGGCAGAATGTGCAGGTTTGTTATACAGGTATACACATGCCATAGTGGTTTGCTGCACCCATGAACCCATCTTCTACATTAGTTATTTCTCCTAATGCTATCCCTCCCCTAGCCCCCCAAACCCCAACAGGCCCCAGTGTGTGATGCTCCCCTCCCTGTGTTCGTTTGTTCTCATTGTTCAACTCCCACTTATGAGTGAGAACATGAGGTGTTTGGTTTTCTGTTCCTGTGTTACTTTACTGAGAATGATGGTTTCCAGCTTCAGAACATTCTGATTAATTGTGATTTTGCTATATATTGATATTTTATAGCTCCTACCCCTTTTGTCAGCAGCTACCTCCCTATCATTGAATTGATTAGTTATATTTAATAACGTTTGGTGTTTGGATTCATTTAGCAATAACACTTGGAAATTTCTTACCAGCTATTTTTAAAGTCTTAATTTGTTTTTTGTTTTTGTTTCTGTTTTTTCACCAGCTATTTAGGATAAGAGAATGTTTACATCTTAATGTAAAAAATGAAAACAGGCATAAATAGTATTTTATGTATAGAAATGCTTTCTTTCATTAGTTGGTGCCTGCATCTCTAAGTGTTTACATAGCTTCTCTGCCTGTATGATGTTGCTAAAAACATGAATCAGGAAGGAGGAAAAAAAGTTGAATATCTAGTCCAAGAAGGAGAGAGTTTCTATAAAAAATGTGTGTGTTTGTATATATATCTATGTATGTATATGTATGTATACATCTATGTATATGCATATGTGTATATATCTACATACATCAATATGTACATATATTAACATATCCATGTATATGTATGTATACATATGTGTGTATTTACATATGTGTACACATATATATGTATGTGTATATACACACAACCACACCTTCTCTCGGCATTATTGTCAAAAATCAGTTGACCATAGATAACTACCTATATAATACGCACTGTGTGTGTATATATAACTATACAGGAAAAACAGGGTGCAAAGAAGAAAAAAAGAACCTTTTTTTGTTGTTGTTTTGAGACTGAGATTTAATACAGGCGAAATCACTGTGAACATTATAAATCACTTATGTAAGTTTAACCATTCTCCTACATATGATCCTAAGTGCTGTAAATGGGGAAATTCTTTTATTATTATTATTATTATTATACTTTTAAGTTCTGGGGTACATGTGTACAACGTGCAGGTTTGTTACATATGTATACATGTGCCACGTTGGTGTGCTGCACCCATTAACTCATCATTTACATTAGGTATATCTCCTAATTTTATCCCTCCCCCCTCCTCCCTCCCCACAATAGGCCCCGGTGTGTGATGTTCTCCTTCCTGTGTCCAAGTGATCTCATTGTTTAATTCCCACCTATGAGTGAGAACATGCGGTGTTTGGTTTTCTGTTCTTGCGATAGTTTGCTGAGAATGATGGTTTCCAGCAGCATCCATGTCCCTACAAAGGACACAAACTAATCCTTGAAAAAAAAGAACTTTTAAAAAACATGTAATTAGAGTCATCAAAGAGATAAGAAAATAATGCATGCATAAAATAAGAAAAAATATAAAATAAGAAAGATTAAGGTTATTAGAAATTAAAAATGTTATCATCTAAAATGAGAAATTTAATAAAAGAGTTGGAAGATAGAGTCATGGAAAACTCTCACACAGTAAAACAAAGAAACTATTTTTTAAAAAGAGAGGGATAAAGTAATAAAGTCCAGAGGTTCAAGCTAGGAAGTCCTACATCCAGCCAAGATGAGTTCCAGAAAAAGAGACCAGCGGAAATCAAAGAAGAGAAATGGTCAAAGAAATAATAATGATAACATTTCCTACAACAAAAGGATATGTCTCCAAGTTGTAAGAGACCACTAAGTAATTCACACTTACTAATGAATTTAACAAAAGAAGTGCAAAACATATTTTCAAAACTACAAAATATTGTCAAAGGAAATTAAAGAAGATATAAATGATTTTTAAAAACGCAAGATGGCTGTACTCCCCAAAGTAGTCTACAGATTCAACATCATCCTTGTCAGACTTTGGGCTGCTTCTTTGTAGAAGATGACAGGCTGAATCTAAAGTTCACATTGAACTTCAAGGAACCCAGAAGGGCCAAATCAATCTTAAAATAGAATAACAAAGTAGGAGGATTTATTCCTTCTAATTTCAAAGCTTACTACAAAGCAATAGTAATCAAGACAGAGTGGTACTGGCACTAGGATAGACATACAAATCAATGGAATAGAATTGTGAGTTCATAAATAGACCTGTGTGTCTATGATCAACTGATTTTTGACAATGATGCCAAGAGTATTCAATGAGAAAGTAACAGTCTCTTCAACAATTGGTGCCAATGCCATTCAATAGCTACATGCAGAAGTATGAAGTTAGACCCTTACTTTACATCTTAAAAAAATAAAATCCAAAATGAATCAAAGACTTAAACATAAGAGCTAAAACTCCTAGAAGTAAACATAGGCATAAATTTTCATGACCTTTTAACAATGATTTCTTATATATGGCACCAAAAGCACAATAAATGAAAGAGAAAAAAGATAAATTTGAATTCCTAAAAATTAAAACTCTTGTATATCAAAGGACACTATCAAGAAAGTGAAAAAACAATCTCCAGAACTGAAGAAAACATTTGCAAATTGTATGTCTAATAAGGATGTAGTACCAATATTACATATTTTAAAATCTCTTATAACTCAACAGAAAAAAGAAACAGTAGGCAAAGGACACAAATACATATCTTTTCAAGGAAGATACGCAAATGTCCAACAAGCACATAAAAAAAAGCTCATCATCATTAATTATTAGGAAAATGCAAATCAAAATTATAAGACACCACTTCACATCCATTAGGATAGCTATAATAATAATTTTAAAACAGCAGAACATAAGTGTTGGTAAGGATATGGTGAAATTGGAACCCTTGTACTTTGCTGATGAGAATTTAAATGCTGCTGCCACTCTGAACTACAATTTGACAGTTCCTCAATAAATTAAACATAGAATTACCATAGGACCCAGTAAGTAAACTCAGGTTTATACACAAAGTATTTGAAAGCAGATATTCAAACAAAAATGTAGAGATGGATGTTCATAGGAGTGCTGTGCACAATAGCCAAAAGGTGGAAACAACTCAAATGACCATTAACAAGTGGATAAACAAAATAGGGTAGACTGAGCTACCTACATGCACTGTGCAGTGCCAGAGAGGTCAACCAGAATCAAGATGTCTGGCACTGAGGAAGCAATTTTTGGAGAGCGTGACAGCCATTCTGCTGTTCATGGCAGTTCAGTATGCTTTGGACAGTGCCAGTACACAGTAGAAGAGTACTAGGCCATCCAGAAGGCCCTGAGGCAAAGGCTGGGCCCAGAATACATAAGTAGTGCGTGACTGGAGGAGGCCAGAGGTGTGTTACATTGAGGGTCATTGGGTAATTAATCTGGCCTATGACATGTTTGGTTACAACGGTGGGGCACACTCCATCACACAGCAGAATGTGGATTTTGTTGACCTCAACAATGGCAAGTTCTACATGGGAGTCTGTACATTTGTGAGGGTCCAGTTGAAGGATGGTTCATATCATGAAGCTGTGGGTTATGGTGTTAGGGCCTCCAGTCCAAGGCCTTATCTTTGGAGAAGGCAAGGAAGGAGGCAGTGACAGAAGGGCTGAAGTGAGCCCTCAGGAGTTTTTGTAATGCACTTGGAAACTGTATTTTGGACAGAGACTACTTGAGGTCACTAAACAAGCTTCCATGCCAGTTGCCTCTTGAAGTGGATTAAACTAAAGCAAAGAGATAAGATTTTGAACCACCTGTGGAATAGGCAAGATACAACAGCTGCCAACTGAACATGACCCTGGGACACCCACAACTTCAAGTGGTGACCTTCCCTTGCGGACCAAGCCATGTTGTGATTCAGGGGGACAAGGATTGTAGCTTTCCAACTTCTGAGCTCACCCACTGTTGGTGAGAGAGGCCACGTACCAGCAGAAGCTCTGGCAAAAGCAGCTGCAGCAGCAGTTCCGGGAGCAGATGAAGAAACAGCAAGTCCACACCTTTTTGCCGTCAGTTGAGAAGTGAGGAGACTCTTGGAGACAACTCTGAAATCTGGGATGTGACTCCAGATGCAGGGGATGGTGTGGTCAAGATTTGTCTAGAGAAGAACCACCCCAGACCTCTGACACACCAGCCTTGAACAACCAGATGGTGACCCAGAACAGGACTCCACACAGCCTACGCTGCCAGAAACCACAAGCAAAATCTGGATCTTGAGACCTCCAAACTTACAGCACTGACCAGTGCATAACAAGAAACTGGGAAGCTCATAGGAAGGGCCAGGACATAAAGAAAAGGAAATTGGATACATCTTAACTGAGCCTCTGACTAAATCATTGGACTCTGTCACAAAGGGACTTTGGAAAACTACTTTTTGGTCATGAAATTGTTCATCACTCATGGAGAATTAACTTTATTGCTAAGGATTTATCGTGCTTCAATTTGAACCTCATCAATAGGATCTGACTGAGAGCCTACTGCAGTTAGAGCTGAGCACTTTTAAAAACCTCATCCCACACTCTAGTTGGGAGAGGCTCTGGACAGATGAAACACCTTTTCTTTGGCTTGTGAGGCTTCCCACTATTTATTTCTAAACTATTATGTTAACACCGATGGACATTTTAGGAATCACAAATGGCTGCTTGCCCTCCAGCAATATAGGCCAGACTTAGTACTAACCACCTGCCTCAGCAATTACCTACATTCAATTGCTTTGCATAACCTCTGCCTTCTTTCCTTTAGGGCACCAAGCATTTAATATTGTCCACATTAAGCACTGAGGATCATGACAGGAAAAAGGTTGGAGTAGCGCTTTTTACTGCTTTGTATCAATCCAGGCTACAATCTTCATTTAATATAAATAAACTCACTTATGGGTTTATGGCATAAAATATAGGGTATATTTATTTAATGGAATATTATTTGCCCTAAGAAAATAAGGTACTGATATATGCTACAACACAGAAGAACTTAAAAACATGAAAGAAGCCAGTCACAAAATACCACAAATTACATGATTTCTTTTATATGAAATGTCCCAAACAGACAAAATTATAGAGACATAAAGTAGATTTGTAATTACTTAGGAATGAGGAGGATAGGGAATAGGGGCTTGAGAGCTAAAGGGTATGGGGTCCTCTGTGGTGATAAAATGTTATAAATTTGTCTTTGGTGATGGTTGCAGATAGCATGGATATACTTTAAAATCATTGAATTATATTCTTTAAAGTAGTGAATTGTGTGCTGTGTTAATTATATCTTAGTAAAACTATTTTTACAACTTGTAAAGGAAAAAATGGGAGGGCACCAAATGCTGAACACATTGACTAGAAAAAGACCCACATCAGTGCACATCAACAGGAAAAAAGAAGACACTACAATCTCCAGGTAAAAACCTTAGCCTTAGCTTACATTAAAAAGATTGTAGGGTGAGAATGGCATCGGCTTGTAAAAGAGAAAGCTTTGTAAGTTAGAAGACAATAGAGTAATACAAAATAATTGATGAGGCAAAATAATTTTCAGTCCCACATTTTTATTTGAAAATGAGGACAGAAGGAAGATATATTCATAAATGCAGAGTATACTTTACCTTCCATGCACCCTTTCAAAGGGAACCATCCTTCTACTGGAGAATAGACTCCAGTAAAGTCAGCAAGTAAAAAAGAAGAGCCAACCCAATAGTACAGTCAAGAGGAGCCCCAGGTTACTGACTTTGCAGAGAGAAGCAGAGAGAACTCAACTGGATATCTCTATGGAGAAGCTATTCAGTAGAATAGTGGATATTATGGAGCATTTTGAAGCACTCGGGCAGTGTGGGGAGAATACATGGATAGCAAGTATTACATGTGGAAAAATTTGATAAGGAAAAACACTGCTGAAAAGGGGGGAAATGTATCATAGTATCATATGTATCATAGTATATGTATATACACATATATATACACATATATACACACATATAAATACACACATACACACATATGTATATATGTATATATGTGTGTGTATATCTATATGATTTTGCCTCACAATAAATAGTATGTTTATAGTTATAATGAATTGACATTAGATATAGATTTAATTTAAAAATACTGATATATTCTAGGCAATGGGAGGAGAAGGGGTAAGATGGTATAAGAGAGCCAAATGCCTAAAATTAATAACTTGAGAAAATAAATATGTTTTTGATTTGGGAATAAGAACTTGAGAATAGAAGAAACCACTTAAAAAAAGTCAAAAAATTGTCTTTGGGTAGAAGGACATGAAGGGTCTGGGACTTATTTTTCATTTTAAGTTTATGGTACTTTTTAATTTTTCAACCATCTCCATGTATTATTGATTTTTATTTCATAAATACTTAAAAAACAACAAAATTGAAAAGGTGATGGGGTCAGGCACGGTGGCTCACGCCTGTAATCCCAACATTTTGGGAGGCCGAGGCAGGTGGATCACCTGAGGTCAGGAGGTCGAGACCATCCTGGCTAACAAGGTGAAACCCCATCTCTATGAAAAATACAAAAATTAGCTGGGCGTGGTGGTGGGCACCTGTAAACCCAGCTACTTGGGAGGCTGAAGCAGGAGAATCTTTTGAACCCGGGAGGCAGGGGTTATAGTGAACTGAGATCACGCCATTGCACTCCAGTCTGGGCAATAGAGTGAGACTCCATCTCAAAAAAAAAAAAAAAAAAAAAAAAAGGTGATATACAAATCTTTTGATACCTATTTCACTAACCTGAGCTTTATATTAGAGCTACGAAGACAAGCTATGTTGACAGACTCCTTTGGTTGGTGTCTACACAGACAGAATTCTAAACACTTAAGGACAAAATACTTTTGTTGATGCCAGTATTATAATTTCATTGAGTATATATAGTTAAAGTCTCACTTAATTTCACTAGTTCCTTTTCTGTGTTTCTCTGACAAGATTCTAATTTAATATTGTATAATTGCTGGCTCTGCTAGCAAAGCACCTGCGCACTCTGTAGTTAAGAGGGTCCTGATAATTTGTTAGCTCTCTTGAAATCTTGTGGATTTTTAGACACACAAATCCTACTTTTAAGAAATCGTCAAAGTAATCCTCAATAGACCAGGAATTCAGGTCAGAAAATACTTTAAATCCCTCAGACAGAAAAAGCTGTAAATCCTTTAGGTTACTTTGGAGGATCTGAAGTGGGATGATATGTTTAATTCTGTGAATTACGTGGCAAAATTAGAGTCACTTGGCAAATTCTTGCCATGATGCTACACTCTAGGGAGAGGAAGTCCATGCATGCTACATTATATTCCTGGGAAAACACAAAAAATAATGATTTCTTTCCATTACCCTGATCCCTTCAACATCCTGTTCCCCAGAAACCTCTGTAAAAAAATAGTTGCCCTCTGGATAAATGACCAGACCAAAACAATTTGGCCAAAAATTTTGAAATCAATACTTCTTATCTTTTCACCTCTAACTTCTCAGCTCTTTTAAGCTATCTTAACCCAGGTGTTCTCAAAAAAGAACTTTTCTTGAATCCAACATTGATTTTGTTGTTGTTGTTATTCTATACGATTGACTGAGTTTTTTCCACTCAACTTACTTGGCTATCTGATTATGGAAAGTAAAGCAACTCTCCATCTGGTTACCTGCTTACCTAACCTCTGTGTAAGAAACCTTAATGGAACCTGAATTTGCTCTTTTTTTTTTTTTTTTTTTTTTTTTTTTTTTTGAGATAGAGTCTTGCTCTGTCACCCAGGCTGAAGTGCAGTGGCTCAATATCAGTTCACTGCAACCTCCGCCTCCCAGGTTCAAGCAATTCTCCTGCCTCAGCCCTCTGAGTAGGCGGGATTACAGGCACCCACCACCATACTCAGCTAATTTTTGGGTTTTGTTTTGTTTTTTTTTAGTAGCGGCAGGGTTTCACTGTGTTGTTCAGGCTAGTCTCGAACTCCTGACCACAGGTGATCCACCCTCCTCAGCCTCCCAAAGTGCTGAGATTACAGGCATGAGCTACTGCACCTGGCTGTCATTCATTTTTAAATATTATTTATTTAAGAAATACTCCACGCATACACACAAGCCTCAGGGATGTACCCTGGATTCTAGCTGAACTAACAATTTAAAAATAATTTGTGATCACAAAATACATATTGGTCCATCTGTACTCCATAAGGGCCTATCTTGCCCATCTTCCTTCCCGACATCCTTGCCCAGGGCTCTCCCTCCCACTAGATAGGGACACACAAATGATCCTTCTGTAACTTCTGCCATCTAAATGCCTCATGCTGGAGACCTTCCTCAGTTCCTTCCATGACCTTACTCTCAGTTTCATTAAGGACTGAAAAAGAAAAGGAAAGCCAAAGCAATAAACGATAGCCAAGAAAAGTTTGCTTAGCCTCCTTTGTTGTCTCTGCCCAATTTTAATTTGGTAATAATTTGTAGGGAACAGATAAAGTCAGGGCCAGTCTTTCCTTGATGATTTTAAGGAAACAAAAAGCACTAATCTTGAAGTTCAGTCCCGGGATGTGTCTACTCTGCAACGGCAACTTCCATGTCCTTGGGCAAGCCACTTAACCCCTCTGATTTTATTTATGAGACAATAATCATATCATAGTTGTTATTTTTCTTTTTTTAACTTTTAGTTTCAGGGGTACATGTGCAGGTTTGTTATATAGATAAATTGTGTGCCACAAGGGTTTAATGTACAGATTATTCCATGACACAAGAAATAAGTATAGTACCCAATATGTACTTTTTTTATCCTCACCCTCCTCCCAACTCCACCCACAAGTAGGCTCCAGCATCTATTTTTCTACTCTATGTCAATGTATACTCAATGTTTAGCCCCCACTTATAAGTGAGAACATGCAGTATTTAGTTTTCTGTTCCTGAATTAGTTCACTTAGGATAGTGGCCTCCAGCTCCACTTATGTTGCTGTAAAGGATAGGATCAGCATAGTATTCCATGGTATATATGTACTACACTTTTTAAATCCAGTTTACCATTGATGGGCATTTAGATTGGTTCCATGTCTCTGCTATTGTGAATAATGCTGCAATGAACATACACACGCATGTGTTTTTATGATAGAACAATATATATTCCTTTGGATATATATCCAGTAATGGGACATGTACCCAAATGGTAGTTCTGTTTTAAGTTCTTTGAGAAATCTCCAAAGTGCTTTCAACAGTAGCTGAAATAATTTACATTCCCACTAATAGTGTATAAGCATTCCTTCCCTTTTCTTCACAACCTTGACAGCATCTGTTATTTTTTGACTTTTTAATACTAGCCATTCTGACTGGTGTGAGATGGCATCTCATTGTGGTTTTGATTTGCATTTCTCTAGTGATTAGTAATGCTGAGCATTTTTCTTATGCTTATTGGCCATTTGTATGTCTTCTTTTGAAAGTGCCTGTTCATGTCCTTTGCTCACTTTTTAATAGGGTTGCTTGGTTTTTGCTTATTAATTTATTTAGGTTTCTTATAGATTTTGGATATTATATCTTTCTCAGATGCATAATTTAAACATATGTTCTCTCATTCTATGGGTTGTTTACTCTGTTGATAGTTTCTTTTGCTGTGCAGAAGCTCTTTAGTTTAATTAGGTCCCACTTGTCAATTTTCATTTTTGTTGCAATTGCTTTCGGCATTTTTGTCATGAAATCTTTGCCAGGGCCTATGTTCAGAATAGTATTTCCTAGGTTTTATCCAATGATTTTTACAGTTTAATGTTATACACTCAAGTCTTGAATTGATTTTGTATATGATGTAAAAAGGCATTGATTTGAATCCATCTTGAATTGATTTTGCATATGATGTAAAAAAGATATCCAGTTTTAGTCTTCTGTATATAGCTAGGCTGTTATCACAGTACCATTTATTGAGTAAGAAGTCCTTTCCC